TGCTTGAGGCCTGTTGGTTTCCCAGCCCCTGCCTTTGACACTTTAACCCCTGACAAACAGGTAGAGGGGTTGAACATCAGCTGGCAAAGCAGCTGGACAGATAAGGCAAAAGCTGCACAAGCAAGCAAAGCAAAACAGGGAATTCATCCCCTGCCTCCCGTGGCAGGCAGGTGCTCCAGGCAGGCAGGGCTCCATCGATTACTTGGGAAGACAAACCCAGAATGTTCCCCTTTCCTCCTTCTCCCCAGCTCTGTGTGCTGAGGGTGATGCCGTCAGGTCTGGGGTGTCCCTGGGCTCAGCTGGGATCAGCTGTGCTGGCTGTGCCCCCCAGCTCCTCTCTGGTGAGGGTGAGGAGCAGGACAGGCCCTGGCTGTGAGCAAGCCCTGCTCAGGGAGAGCTCAAACATCCCTGGGTTATCAGCACAAAACCAAACCCAGCTGCTGTGAGGAAGATTAACTCTAGCCCAGCCAAAACCAGCACACCAGGTGCTCTGCTGGTCTCCTGAGCATTAGAGGGATCAGCAATGGCCCAAATTTTGTTCCTTTTCTGTCCATGGTCACTGATAGAGCCTTGGTGAGAACTCCTTGAGAGCAGACATAGATTAGGGGAGATTAAGGCAGGGAGCAGACTGTGGGGATGCAGGGACATCAGATGGCCAGGAGTGCATGCTGTGGCTGGGTCCAGGAGCTGGGAAGGTCCTGGAGGAAATCTGCACCAGCTGTGGGGCTACAGCAGAACACTCAGGGGAAGGCAATGTGAGAAGGGCAGGTACTGCTGGTTTGCTGTGAGGAGGTGCTGAAGGGCAGCAAACACAACCTGCCACTCTCAGGCAGATTGCTCTGGTGGGAGGGGATGCAGAAAAATTGGTTTATCACACAGTGTTTTAACTTTGACTTCCTGGGGCACAGTGGGTTTGAGGTGAAGAACTGTTGGTGCTAAATGAGAACCAGGCAGTCTGCAGGGAGATGGGCAGTGAGATAGCAACTAGATTTGGAGGAAAAAATCCACTTTTCTCTGTACTGTGTAACTGAGATGCATTTTTTAAAAATAGCTGTGATTCAGAACCATTAACAAGAACGTTTTACCTGGATCATTTCCTTTGGGAGCATTTACAAGTCCCCAACAAGAGCAGGGACCGGACCTTCAAGAGGAATACAGCAATGTCATCCTGCAGGGAATGTACCAGTCCAGCTCCTCTCCTCTCAGAGGGACATCTGGCTGCTCCTGGATAACATTCCTGTACAAATAGCCCATTCTGATGTGAGCTTCTTGCCCTCTAGATGGTACCAAGCACCGAGTCTGAAATCGCTGATTTCACTGCCTGCTGTCAATAACACTGTCAGGCTCTGGGGGTTGTTAGAAAACCTCTTGGCTTTTCCGTGCTTTTGATCCATATCCAGCTTTATAAATAGGTGGGTTTTGTGCCATTCAGTGTCACTGTTAGTTCAGCATGGAAAAGGGTGTGATGCAGATTAAAATAACCAGCCTGGAGGCACAGAGAGCTGTGTGAGTCTCAAGTGCTGCCGCCTTTGCTTTAGACAACACGTTCAACCCCCGTCTAGAGAATGACCCAGTTCCTAAAGGGGCTTTTTTTGGGTTGGATCCTTATTAGACTTGGCTTTTATAACTCCTGGAGGCTTTGGGGTGTAGAGAGTGAACACACATCAACACCTCCCTCCCTGATAAACAGAGAGCAGTTCATGGTGCCAGGCAAAGACGTGAACACTGGATATTGTCTGTAGCTAGGAAATTGTTTGTCTGGATCTGAATTCTCCCCTGGTCTGGCATTCTGCCTTGCTGGGCTTTCCCTGCAGACACAGCAGAGCAGTCCCAGAGGGCAGCAGAGCCATCAGGCCAATGATGGCAGGGCCACACTGACACCTCTTCCCAGGCAGAAGGGCTGGGAAAGGCTTGGGTGAAAACAGACTGGAGCTGGTCCAGGTCTTCTGTTGGTCTCCTGAGCATTAGAGGGACCAGCAATGGCCCAAATTTTGTTCCTTTTCTGTCCATGGTCACTGATAGAGCCTTGGAGAGAATTCCTTGAGAGTAGACATCGATTAGAGGAGATTAAGGCAGGGAGCAGACTGTGGGGATGCAGGGACAACCCTCCCTGATAAACAGAGAGCAGTTCATGGTGCCAGGCAAAGACGTGTACACTGGATATCATCTGTAGCTAGGAAATTGTTTGCCTGGCTCTGAATTCTCCCCTGGTCTGGCATTCTGCCCTGCTGGGCTTTCCCTGCAGACACAGCAGAGCAGTACCAGAGGGCAGCAGAGCCATCAGGCCAATGATGGCAGGGCCACACTGTCACCTCAAGGCTTGGCTGAAAACACAGACTGGAGCTGGGGCTCACCTGGCTCACCTGAGAGGGATCAGGCAGGGCTTTGTCAAATCCCCCCTTTCTCCCCAGCTTTAGGGCAGGAGGGTGTCCCAGCACGGCCACAGTGCCCGTGCCAGCACTGAAGGGGTGACTGCTGCTGCCCTCCCCTTCTGGGGAAGAATTAAACCAGAACAGCTATCAGCAAAACAAAACTGACCTTGGCAAGTCAAACAGTTCATTTCAAACCTGTCTGTGATACCTGCATTTCTGTAGCAACAAAAATAGGAGGTTTTGCTTACAAACAGTGTCTTGTACATCTAAGAATAGCTACATTTCCACAAAGTTCTTAAAAAAAGACACAAATGCTAGTTTGGATATTAAGATTAATATATTTAATCTTTCTTGTTTGTAAAACAAGACATAAATTTGTGTATAGATATAACATATATTTTTTATTTATATATAATATATACAGACAATAAAAAAATTTTCCTCTGTATTAGACTGAGAGATTTATGGAGGAATGATATAGGCATAACGGGGAGCTTTGAAGAAACTCAGAGTTTCATAACTAGGTAATTCCCAGGGAAAAGAAAAACACCCTGTCAGCCTTCAGCACTGAAACAGGCCTTGCCCACCATGGACTGAAGTCCCAACTGGCTCTTCCACTGGATATTTGCTACATGGTTCTTGGAATCAGGAGGCTGTCCCCACAGCAGGATGCTCTGTGCCTTGCTGACAGCCCCGGGCCAGGGGAGCTTATTGCACTCCGAGGACGCAGTGTTAAAAGCACATCTGTGCATTTCCATAGCTCCTATGGAAGAACGAGACATTTCCAATGTGCATATTTATCAAAAATCATAGAGATGGGAAGCGACTGCTCATCCCCAAGGGCTGGGGCGAGCTGCCTGGCTTGGACAGCTGCCCTCACCCCCTGAGGCCGGGGCTGTGAGCAGGGCTGTGCCCTCCTGCCCGGCCAGAGGCAGTGACAGGGACAGGCACAGGGATCCCGAGCTGCAGTGGGTGTCAGGGTGAGGGCAATGCCATGGGTGACCTTGCATTTCTCTCCTTGCTCTCTCTTGGAGGGTGGGTGGCTGCAGGGGAACACCAGTTAAGGCTGTCTCATTGGTTATGTCTGTTACTCGACTGGGAGGAGGAGGAGGAGGAGGAGGAGGGGAGCCTTGGGGTGGGGAGGAACACAAGTAGGAATCATTTTACCATTCACCTAGGAGTGAAAACAAAAACCCCCAAACAAACAAACCCCCCAACTCCAAGTAAATAACCACCTCAGAGAACTAAATAATGCTTCTTATGGCAGTCAGCCTGGTGAAGACAGAAAAGGAACCCCAACACCCTGGCAAGGAGGGGAGCCCCTGCCTGGCTCACAGTCAGAGCTGATCAGGGCTCCTCTCTGATGGTCACAGTGAAAAGAAATAGGAGAGGGTTTGGGCTGAGCCTTGGGGACATGAACCTGACCTCTGGAGAATGGTGTGACAATGGTCTCCCCTCAGCTGCTAGCCCAGCTTCTGGCGTGCAGTGGTCAAGGATCAATCAGTCTGGGTTCCTTGCAGGGTCTCTAGCATGGATTCAGCCATCCAGAAGAGGAACACAGAATTGTTTTGGTTGGAAAAGACCTCTAAGATTATTGAGTCCAACCATTCCCCCAACACTGCCAAGGGCATCACTAAACCATGTCCCCAAATGCCACAACTAAAGGTCTTTTAAACACCTCCAGGGATGGTCACTCCACCACTTCCCTGGGCAGCCTGTTCCAAAACCTGACCACCATCAGTGAAGAAATTTTTCTTACAACCAATCTAAACCTCCCCTGGCACAACATGAAGCCCTTTCCTCTCATCCTGTCTCTGGGGGAAGAGACCGATCCCCACCTGGCTGCTCCCTCCTGCCAGGAGTTGTGCAGAGCCAGAAGGTCCCCCCTGAGACTCCTTTGCTCCAGGCTGAGCCCCCTCAGCTGCTCCCCATCACAATTGTGTTCCAGACCCTTCTCCACTCCATTCCCTTCTCTGGACATGCTCCAGCCCCTCAGTGTCTGTTTTGTTGTGAGGAGCCCAGAGCTGGACCCAGGATTTGAGGAGTGGCCTCAGCAGTGCCCAGGCAGGGGACAGTCACTGTCCTGGTCCTGCTGCCCCACCATGGCTGGGACAGGCCAGGTGCCCGTGGCCTCTTGCCCACCTGGGCACACCTGGCTCCTGTTGAGCTGCTGGTGAGCAGCACCCCCAGGGCCTTTCCCACCAGGCCCTTTCCAGCCCCTCTGCCCAGCCTGGAGCTGCAGGGCTTGGTGTGACCCAGGGCAGGGCCTGGCTGGGCCTCAGCCCATGGAGCCAGCCTGGCCAGATCCCTGTGCAGAGCCTTCCTGCCCTGCAGCACAGCACTCCCACCAAACTGGGGTCACCTGCAGACTGACTGGGGGTGTCCTCAAAAGGTACTAAACAGGACAGGGCCCAGCACTGAGCCCTGGGGAACACCACTGGTGATGGCCCCAGCTGGATTTAACTCCATTCCCCACCACTCTCTGGGGCCTCTCCATCCATCCACGCATCCATCCATCCATCCATCCATCCATCCATCCATCCATCCATCCATCCATCCATCCATCCACCCATCCATCCACCCATCCATATTTCTCCAGGTGAATGCTGAAGAACACAGTGAAGAACACAGTGTTAGATTTTTTACTAAAATCCAGCCTTTCCCTCACCCACAGAGAGTCACCCTGTCATGGAAGCAGGCCAGGCTGCTCAAGCAGCACCTGCCTTTCCCCTGTGCTGGCTGGGCCTGACCCCTTGTCCTGTGTGTGCCATGGCATGGCACTCATGATCGTCTGCTCTGTGACCTTCTTGTCACCGAGGTCGGACTGACAGTCCTGTGGTTCTCTGGATTGTCCCCCCTTGCAGGCATTGAGCCCTTGCCAGTGGCACAGGCAGTGCCTGTGCTCAGGACTGGAGCACTGGGGCCTAAGCTGTGAGAGCAGAGCCCAGTAGGGTGCCCAGCTCTGTGCCAGCATGATGGCAACCTACCATAACCTGCTAGGACTGCTTGCCAAGTCCCAGCACAGCAGCAGATCCCATCTGCTGCTGATTATGTTGTGTTTGTGGGCCAGGAAGATCCTGGAGGCAGAAGAGTTGTTTACGTGGCAAGACACTGGTTTGGCTCCAGAGTGCCCAAGGGGAGCCAGGAGATCTCAGCTCAGCTCCTGATAGCTCACTGGCCCACCACAAACTGTGAAAGAGGTCTGCAGGAGCAAGGCCCAGAGCCCCATGGAACCACACTGGTGTGGGGATGGGGTGCCTGCACCTCCCAAGCACTGTCACCAATGAGCCAGTGTGGGACAACAAGCAGATTGCACAGCTTGAGCCCCTGGACCAGCAGATTGCACAGCTTGTGACAGGGCACAGATTCACCCTTCAAACCCCTCACCAACACAACCATGCATTCTGCAGAGACCAAAGAGTGTCTTGGCTACCGCAGACCGTGGTCAGCGTGGGCCTGCAGGCACCGCATCCTCAGCAGACCTGTGAGATGTGAGAGCGTGGCCTGGCACACACTGCCTCCTTGGTCTTCACAGCTGGCTTTACTTATTGATCAGCGTCTTCAGGGAGCGCGTCAGGGTGCTCATGACCGTGGCCACCGTGGCTGACTGGCGGGCCAGCTGCTCCACAGTGTGCTGGTGGCTCAGCGTCCTGGCCGTGGACTCCTCGGCAGCCTTCAGGAGGAAGGTGTAGTTCCTCACCACCTCCTCCACCTTGGTCAGCAGCTCCTGGCGCTGGGACTCGGAGCGCACAACGTACACCAGCCTCACGAAGGTCTCGATGAGGCTGCTTAGCACCTGGAAGCTGCTCGTGATGGCCGACAGCATGTGGGTGGGACTCTTGTCGACGGCGGCCACGCGGCGGCAGGATGCCCGGAACTCCTTGAACTTGAGGGCCAGCTCCTGCTTGTACTCAGCCAGCTGGGAGATGTAGGGCTTGCAGTCCCGCACCTCGGGGCTCAGCACACACTGCCTCAGGATGGTCAGGAGCTCGTTGGTGTCCAGCTGCACCTGCAGGAACCCGTTGGGGAAGCTGTAGGCATGGCCTCGAAGGGTGTTGATCTTCGCCAAGCTCCCCTCAAAACTGGAGGTCCTTAAATCTATCTCCTGGGTCTGGCTCTCGTTGGGACTGCTGCAGGCTGTTGCGTCCAGGACCTGAAGAGTCCTGCTCATTACTGGGACCATCTGATTGTCCAGCTTCATTCCTGGGAGTATCTGCATGGGGATGGAATAGGACAGCTCATCCTTCTCGCTCCCATCATCTGCAACATCGCATTTCCTGTAGTAGAAGCAGTAGCGGATGGAGCAGCACTTCTCATCCTCCATGTCTTCATCCCGCAGCTCAGCAGGACTCGGGTACATCTCCTCCTGGACAGAGAACACTGCTGAACCCTTCTGACTCTTTTTGTCCTGTGCTATCTGGACGTAGGAGGGGTCAGCCACTCCAGTGGCTTCCTGGATTTTGCTTTTCAGAACAGGACAGAGGATGCTGGGCTCAGGCTCTTTCTGGGGGCCTTTCTGCTTGGTTGTGTAGATGTTCTGGTAGACGTCAGAGGACAGGGATGTCTTTTCAGTCTTATCTATTTCACTGACACTGTAGCGACGCAAGAGCTTCCTGTAGTGGGGTGCACCCATGCACTCCCCGCGGGAGGTGCACGTTGTCAGACAGGACATGCCGTTCTCTGGGTCTGACCGGTTGTCTCTGGACTCCAAACTTGTGGATCGGATCCGTTTGCCTTTGGAAGGGCTGCTCATGCTGGTCAGCCTTATGGCTTCCACCTGCTTCTGCTCATCTGCAGCTTTATCCCTGCCTCGCCTCTCCAGTTCTGGCACCACCAGCTGGTTGGGGGGTGGCCTCATTCCCCTGCAAATCCGCTTGCAGTCGCAGCTGCGCCTCTGCTCCCTGGACATCCCTGGCACTTTCTGCACAGGACTGCTCCTCAGCTGGCAGCTGCAGCGCCCAGGGGCAGGCGGGTGCAGGTACTCCTGTGGTGGGAGGTCACCTTTGCTCTTTGGCTTGAGCAGCTCTTCAAGGAACTCCAGCTCGTACTGCTTCACCTTCTGCAGCTGGGCCTGCCGCTCGTCCGTCTCCTTCTTCAGCCGTGTGGGAAACGTTGCAGAGAACAGGTTCCTAAGCCTGAAGGGAGCTTTTGGGGCTTTGGGTTTAGCTGGGACATCAGCATCTTGCTGGGTTACCTCCAGGACTTTCTCTACTTTTTTGGAAGGCACAGTGCTAATCTGCAGGCTCTCGGATCTGGGCATCAGCTGGATTGGCCCTTTGGCTTCCTCACTGGTGCTCCTGAAAGTGCTACCAGGTGATGCAGAGTGCACATTGCTGCTCTCAGCTTTTAAGATTTTGGCCGAGCTTTCCTGTTGTATTTTCTGTCCTTGGTTTGAAGGAGCTGAGTGCTTCTGCAAGACGAGGCTTGTGGCTTCCCCACCTGCCTTCTGACCTGTCTCTCCGCTCGCAGCTTTTCCTGCAGCATCCCTACTCACTTTTTGCTGGTAGCTTTTAGAGGCAAAAGTCTTACTGGGCATCATCTCCTCACCTGCTGAGGCAAGGTGGAAAGCTTCAGCCTGACTGCCAGGAGCTTCCTTAGGACTTGGAGAAACTTCACAGTGCTGCTGTGGAGAGACCTGCTGCTGCTGCTGCTGACAGTTGCACAGTGTCTCTGCAGTTTGTGGACCTCCTTTAAGTGTCAAAGGCTTGCTGCTGGTACCATTCACGTTCTGGTCTTCTTTTAAGGCTGATACCACTTGGGGAGCTGAGGCTTTTGCATTTGCCACCTGCTGCAGAGCAGCTGAAATGATGGCTGGAGCTACACTGCTCTTCTGATCCAGGAGCAGCTTGGAGCTTGGCTGCACCTCCTTGGGCATCTTCTCTTGTAGATCCTGTGCCTGCTCCCTGCTTGGGGCTGCTGTGGCATGCAGAGATACCTCAAAGGCAGCTTTTGTGTGAGCTGCAGCAGCTTTGCACTCAGAGCTTGGCACAGCAGCCCCCTTGCCCTGCTCACTGAGCTGGGGGCTCAGCCCTGGCTGGGCAGCCAAGGTGCAGCTCTGCTCCCTGGGCTGCTGCTCCTGCTTGCTCTTGCAGTTGGTAAGGCTGGGACTTTGGGTGGAGAAGGCTGGCTTCAGTGAGGGCTCCTGGCGGCTCAGGGCGTAGGGGGAGGTGAGAACAGCCTGGGCAGCACAGCTCTGGATTCGGAAAGGCAAGTCCTTCCTGGCCAGGAGGTTTTCTTTGTTGATGTGTTGGGTGAGGAAGTAGGCAGCGTTCTGGTGCTGCTTCATGGCAGAGACCATCTCTGAGACATCGGTCAGCTCTGAGGAGTTCGTCTCGTGGCCAGAGTCCAGGGATGACTCAGGAGTGATGGCAGCCAGGACAATAAGACCTGAGGAGGGACACAAAGAAAACCCCACAACAACCCTCACACCACAGTGCTGTGTGGAGGAGAGGGGAACTCCTTGTGGCAGGGCACATTGGAGAAACTTCTGCGGCTTCTCACAACTAAGAGTTAAGGCTTGTAAGGGAAATCACTTTGTCAGCATTGAGCTGGCTTGATAGCTCAATTCAACAAGAGCTTCTGGCCCAGGAAAAGATCCTGTGAAGCTTTCCACTGTTCGTGGTAGCAGAGCTATAGGGATGTGTCTGGCACGAGAAGGAAAATCGGGCAACAGGTACTCTGCCACAGTGAGTAGGGCAACCAAGGTGGGAAGTGGGACAAGGGACTGTGCTGCCAGCAGGCTGGTCCCAGAGTCACCCATCTGGCAGCAGGTTTGCCCTGTGAAGGGCTCACATGCTGCAAAACCTGGGTGGGAACCTGCAGAGACCGATGGCCAAAGGTCCCAGGTGAGAGGGGTCACAGTGGGGAGGAACACACACAGTGCTGGCTGGTTATGGACTCACCCCAGCATTGTGGCATATGGCAGATTTGGGACAAACCAAGAGACTCCTTCAGCCTCTGTCAGGGAGAGGAGTCCCACCTCAGCTTCTCAGAAATCTGAGCAGCAACCTGGCTGCTCCTGCTACAGCCTGCTGCCACAAGTTTTTACTAGAAGCTGCTTCACAGTCACTTACAGGATGGAACGAGACTAAAGGGAAGGATGTACAGTAGGAAAGAAAGGCTATAGGGAAAAAAGAGAGTCACAGCCACGGAAATACCTGCTGTCTGCTGTGGTGGGGGATGTGGACAATCCTCTGAGGCAGCCAGGGCTTCCAGCGCCTGCAGGGTGGACACCAGGGCATCATCCAGCTCCTGGGCGTGGTCCCGCACGGTCCGTGGCTGCACGCTGTCGATCAGGGTGA